AAAAAAAATTATTATCCATGAAAGTATACAAGGCAAAGGGTCAAATTCCAGCAGAAACCAAAAAATCTGTGTGATATTTTCCTAGTCGTCTCATTATTGGTAAATCTGTACTTGTGTGCTAGTAGGAAATAATATGTAGCTGGTGGAATAGTCGAGGTCCGTGCAAACTAGCCACTGAAACCACCATGACATGGTGATAATTTTAGGATTAACAAGTGATCAGGAATAGGTGCAAGGAATCTTTATAAATTTAATTGATCACCTAGCACTTTAGTTATTTAAGTAAAATTCCATCTAAGAGTGCATTATCTTTCACTAGCATTTGTCGATAATAAAAAAAAAAAATAAGTATCTTGATCATAACACAACCATGTCCTTTGCCTATAAATTCATAGTTTCTTTCATTTGGCCAAAACACCACAAAGATCCTATAGTAGTTATCTTTAATGGCATCAACTTGTAAACTTGAAAGCAAAAAAATCAATGGCACTGTTGTCCTTGTGAAAAAGAGAGCTTTAGAGCTTGTTCCATCGGAAGTGGTTCAACAGCAAACTTATGAGATTCTTGGAGACAAGGTTATACTGCAGCTTATCTCTTCTGTTAATGGAGATTCAGGTGATTACTTTTTCCATTTTTCAAAATTTCCTTATTCTTCGCTGTGGTTATCCTTTTGTCAGTAGAAAATATAGTGAACGTTTTGTACTTTTTTTATATTGTGTAAGATAGTGGTCTAAGATGAGCTTAAATGTTTCGACATGGTCAGTGATGATTGTTGTTGTAGTAATGATGTAGTTTTTGTCCCTTTGTAAAATTTTATATATACTAGTAATATTGTGGCCATCCTATTGGTCTTGCATTATATATGAATTTTTAACTCTTGAATAATGGGGAATTTTTAAGTCATGATTCTATTCTTGAACGGAAAGAAAATAAAGGGAAACTTGGGAATCCAACACACTTGAGAGATGAGAGTAAGGTAGGCGATGAATCAAAGTTCAGTGTCACATTTGATTTGGACGAAGAGTTTGGAGCTCCGGGAGCATTCATCATCAAGAACTTTAATCCTAGTGAGTTCTTTCTCAAGAAACTGACTCTTGAAGTTGAAGTTGATGATCCAAGTCATGGTGGCATGCATTTTGTCTGCAATTCTTGGGTTTATCCAGCTGAAAAGTACAAATCGGACCGCATATTCTTTGTGAATCAGGTGAGCACTTTGATTTTCAAATAATATGTATATCCATACGCCTATGCAGTTTATGATAGAGCACTTTGTTTACTTGATGCAGGCTTGGCTTCCAAGTGAAACTCCTGTAAAATTGCGCTGGTATAGGGAAGAGGAATTGTTGAACTTGAGAGGAAATGGGATTGGAAAGCTTGAGGAGTGGGACAGGGTTTACGACTATGCTTATTACAATGACCTTGGAGATCCTGAAAAGGGTTCAACTTACGTCAGGCCAATCCTGGGAGGATCTACAAAGTATCCTTATCCGCGTAGAGGAAGAACCAGCAGACCACCAACAAAAACAGGTAACTCATTTCTGCATCACACTGATCTTTACTATAAGGCATGCCATTTTTCAGTATGTCTGATTTCCTCAAATTTTGAGCAGATCCTAATTCTGAGAGTCGGCTCCCACTGCTAATGAGTTTTGGCATTTATGTTCCAAGGGATGAAAAATTTGCACCCTTAAAGATGACAGACTTTATTCGTATAGCACTTAAGGTCATCGTTCAGCTCCTTGTCCCCGAGCTTGAGTCTTTAGGAAACATCAACCTCAATGAGTTCAACAGCTTTGAAGATATTTTAAAAATTTATGGAGGAGGAATCAATCTTCCTGAAGATGTTTTGCAGAGAAGTAGTATAGAGATGATCAAGGAATTTATTCAAAGTTCTGGTCAGGAGTTTCTTAAGTATCCAATGCCACAGGTTATAAAAGGTACTTTTGGATGAAAGAGTAACAGTAAGTCAATCCCCAAAGGGAATATTTCCTTTTTGCTTTGTGCTTTCTCATAGTTTTACATGGTTGCAACAGAGGATAAGTCAGCTTGGAGAACTGATGAGGAATTTGCAAGAGAGATGCTTGCTGGAATAAACCCTGTCTGCATTTGTGGCCTTAAAGTAAACTAATATTATCTTTTCCTCCTCTAGAATTTCTAATCTTGTCTCTAACTTTTTAACGAAATTCATATTATCTCTATCGTCATGTGAATGAATCTAAAGTTACTTATTCTTTAGTTGAAAGATTATGAGCTGAAACTCTTTTTCTGCAGGAGTTTCCTCCGACTAGTAAGCTGGACCCCAAAGTCTATGGTGACCAAACTAGCAATATAACCAGAGAACATATTCAAAATCAGTTGGATGGACTCACTATAGAAGAGGTTCTATGAATTGATTTTATAGTACTTCTGATTGCCTGTTTAACTAAATTGGACCTGTATCTGATAAATACTTACCTTATTAGGCGATCAAGGTGAATCAGCTTTTCATATTGAATCATCATGACACATTAATGCCATATATGAGGCAGATCAATATGACAAGTACAAAAATTTATGCCTCAAGAACTCTCCTCTTTCTACAAAAAGATGGGACTTTGAAGCTGCTAGGCATTGAACTAAGCTTGCCTCATCCTGATGGAGATCAGCATGGTTTCATTAGCAAAGTTTTTACACCACAGGAATATGGCACTGAGGCTTCGATATGGCAATTGGCAAAAGCTTATGTCGCAGTCAATGACTCTGGAGTTCATCAGCTAATCAGCCACTGGTGCTTAAACTGGAAAATGTTTTTTTTATGGCCAATGATCATCAATTTACTTTGTTTTCTTTCCAAGAACCTCTTTGACTATCTCTCTCTCATTTTTCTCAGGTTACACACTCATGCCACAATAGAGCCAATTGTGATCGCGACAAACAGACAACTAAGTGTGCTTCATCCTATCTACAAGCTTTTGCATCCTCACTTTCGTGATACAATGCACATAAATGCCTTAGCTAGACAGACTCTGCTTAATGCTGGAGGAATTCTTGAGCAAACAGTTTTCCCTACAAAATATGCCATGGAGATGACCTCAGCAGCTTACAAGGATTGGGTTTTTCCTGAGCAGGCCCTTCCTGCTGATCTTATTAAGAGGTAATTCACTACTTAATCCACGCAATTTACTTAAAGGATTCGATAAGTACACAATGGAAAAAAGCTCCTTGAAATGCATTATTGATTTGTATTGTGCTGTAGAGGTGTGGCAATTGAGGATCCTGAATCAGAAAAAGGCATCCGTCTTCTAATCCAGGACTATCCGTATGCTGTGGATGGGCTAGAAATATGGTCAGCTATCAAAAGTTGGGTTCAGGAGTATTGCACCATCTATTACAAAACAGATGACATGATTCAGAAGGACACTGAACTTCAGGCATGGTGGAAGGAACTCCAAGAAGAGGGACACGGTGACAAGAAAGACGAGCCATGGTGGCCTAAAATGCAGACCCTCAAAGAACTGACTGACTCATGCACCATAATTATCTGGATTGCTTCTGCTCTTCATGCAGCCATCAATTTTGGACAGTATCCTTATGGTGGCTACCTACCAAACCGCCCTTCAATGAGCCGAAGGCTCATGCCTGAGCCAGGCAGTCCCGAGTTTGAAGAGCTGAAGACGAACCCTGAAAAAGGATATCTGAGTACAATTACACCACAACTTCAGACTCTCATTGGAATTTCTGCTATAGAGATTTTGTCAACACATTCTTCAGATGAAATCTACCTTGGGCAAAGAGACACTCCTGAATGGACGAATGACAAAGAGTCATTACAAGCTTTAGAAAGATTTGGAAAGAAGCTAACTGAAATTGAAGAAAAAATTATAAAGATGAACAATGACAAGAAATGGAAGAACAGAATGGGGCCTATTAAGATGCCATATACATTGCTTTATCCTTTAAGTGATACAGGACTTACTGGAAAAGGAATACCAAACAGTGTCTCTATATAAAGTTGTTATATTTACCATCATTTGGGTAAAAGATTCAACTTTATTTGAACTAGCCTTCAATAACACTCTTCCTAATTATCTAATTTGGAAGTTAAGACTAAAACAGTAACAGTTGGTAACTAATATTTGAATTATCTAGTTAACTTTGGAAAAATATTTCTTTTCTATTATATTATATATTATATATAAATAAAAGTTGGTTCTGTTATTTTGGAGTGATGACATTTTCTCTTCCAAGTCTTAATTCTGTATATTTGACTGACTTATAAGTTGTCAGTTGATTATGTAGATAATGTCAAGCTTAGAACAGAACTGACTTTTTGTGAAATGTTTAATTTAATATGAAAGTCTACTTAATTAGTACAGTAATATTTATCTTATAGTCCAACTAACATCTTTAAAATAAGTTAGCCAATTAGGAACTTACAACTCTGGAGCAAATCAAATTTAAGTTTAATTGACTTTCTTGAAAAATGCTAACTACGTTATTTAAAATGCTACAAGAGTGTATCCAATGACATAGGCAGTCATAATTAAAAAACGTTTAAAAAGTTTTGAGTTATAGATATTTGTATGATTATAAAATCATCTTATTAATGAGTATAACGAAAATTTTAAAATTAATTTGTTTCCAACTTATCGTAATTTTCAATTAAACTAAATTATTTCCACTTAAACAAATTTAATTTTGGTCTTGGTGGTTTCTGATTATCCATACTTAATTGATGTGTACTTTTGATCCATGAATTGTGGACTTCACAAAATGAACGAATTATTAAGTACGTCAAACCATTTACTTATCTGGAATCCCAACTTATGTACATTCAAAGCAAGCTAAACATATAGTGACGAACTTTAACTTAACTTTTTCTTTAAAAAAGAAACATAAGAAAGAAATTTCAATTAACAAGTCCATCTTGAAATAAAAGAGACTTAAAAAACTAAGCAAATTATAAGCTACAAAAAAGAAAAAAAACTACTAAAATACATAATAGCGAGTAGATAGAGAGATCAATTCGTTGTCAGTTCACAATGGATCCAAACACGATTTAAAAGTTCTTTTTCTTGCGTTTTATTCGTACAATTGTCTTTCAATACTTTGAAAGCGGCATCTTCCAATGAGTAGTAGGTATAGTCGTTGCAAGTGTTGAAAGTGGGTAAGAAAACTGCATTATCCACATTTACGTTCATGCCACAAACAGCAACAGATGAGGCTTCGCTAGTGAAAAAAAGCCAATTTTCGACTTGTTTTACTAATGTGACTATTAGGTTCCCTCCAAAGTGTAGTTCATAAACATGAACATCATGTTGTGGTGTGACAACTACGGAATGTAGCACATTTTGATCCTGACGTTGAACTAAAAACAAACGGTAATCACCAGAAATAGGAGGTGAATATAGTTCAAAAAGTTGATGGATAACCCAGTAAGGGGTTCCGTCTTTAAAGAAGCCAAATACACCAACATCACCGTGTTGGCCTATGACACAAAATTCTTCACCAAAGTAGACCGGACTAGAAGATGAAAATAGGAAAGGCACATCATTGTCCTTTGTGATACTAGTCCATTCATCATCCCTGCCTTGTCTCAAATATGAAATCCTAACTTGAAACAAGTTTAAGAAAGCTATACCAAAGATTACCCAGGCAGAAGAATTAGTTGAGAATGACATAGAGTCACAGAAATAGTCGTCTGTTCTTTGTGGGAGATAGATTATTTGCTTCCCAGAAGGCGAAGGCTTAAGTAAGAAGAGAGACTTTCCCCTAGACACAAGAAGCCATCCATCTTTTGCATACCGAATTTCACACCCTACTAAATCGTTGTTGCTCATATAACATTTCAAATTTCTAAAGGGATTATAGAAGGTGCACAAACCATCCTTTTGATTTAGAGATAGAAGCCACATGGAGTCTTGATCATAACAAGGAGCCGCATGATCAACCACTTTCCAACGTAATGGAGGGGCAATGGATCTCCATAATTTACACACCAAGCGGAAATTCATGTATGCTTCTTGAGAAAGTAGATAACGAGAAATTATCCTTTGAAGGTCTAGAGAAAGATGGATGCAAATGTTGCTCTCTACAGGCACTTGCTTACTACCGTACTTGGAAGAGGAAGAGGATGGACGCCTTTTCAACTTGTTGCCTCCAGTACTAGTGTTATGTTGTTGAATTTTGGTCCTTCCTGACCTGAATAAGTCAAAAATAAAAATCAAATAATGTTATGAACAAACTCATGAAATTAAACAAGGGAGTAAGTAGTATCTAGTTAATTAATTACCTGACGAATAGAGGAACTGAATTGTCAGGATTAAAGACACGAACTTGCTTAGTGGTTGACAAGGTTTGATCGCCAATGTGGAAGGCAAATAAAGTGCGGTTATCATTGCACTGTGTGAAATAGACATGGTTTTTTTCTTGAGTTAGAGATGAACAAGTTGTGGCGGAGAATCGTCCACATAGAAAAATAATAAATCCGTCCAAATTGAATAGTCTGTTGAATTGATTTGTTTTAAAGTTGGCCTCCCAAACCTCAAAGACGGAAGGTGATCCGAATTTTCGTTGAACTAGAAACAATTTGTCTTGCCACGAAACCAAGTTTGTTTGTCGATACATAGCAGTGGCATCTGTTGGTGCCCTGAATGTGACAGGAGAGAGACGAGTAGAAGTAGTTATTTTGGGGATCATTTGTATTATGCCTAGTTTCCCCCCTTTGTCGAACAGAGTGCATATTTTCTCTCCGTTACAGAATGTGACCGCATCAACCAACAGGCTATCATCATCACTAAGTGTTGAAAGTAGTGTTACCTTTACCCACTTTTTATAATAAGGAGCAGCGCAAATTACACAATAAGTCTCTTCCTTAAAGAATAGGGAGACGTTGCATAAGTATTCATCGTCGTTGGAAAAATGTGTTGAAGGGGAAACAACACACTTGAGCAGCGTTGTTTTCCAGTCATCGTACGAACAACGGAAGTGAGGGAGCTTGATTTTAGTTTGGCGTTTCAAGTGCCAAACAAAACAATCTATCCCGTCAATGAAAAAACCCCAATCGTCCCAGCGACCCACGCAATGTATGCCCTCCTTGTTAACATCAACTTGTTCCTTGCAAGTGTTTGATGACAATAGTTTTTTGTCCATCTTCTCTTTCAGGACAGATAACATTGATGAATACTTCATCTCCATGATATACTAGTTTATTTGACTTGTTTTATTCAGATCAGAACAGACCCTCTTTATATAATATGACTCACTCAATTCATATACTTGCTACTTGTTTCCTACTACAACTAGTTTTACGGAAACGTAGCCAAAAATAAGTTGCTTCCTAGTACAACTAGTTTTAGGATTCCTATTAGATTTATAATTTTGATTTTTGACCAAACTAAGCCATTTTAAAAATTAATTCATCAAAATAATAAGCTTTTTTAAAAAAAAATTTACAAAACTAGTATAAATATATTTCTTAGTAATGTTTTAGGTTATACTTTATTTTTAAAAAAATCCAACCATGTAAAATAAAGAAACCTTATTGATAGTACGCTTTAAGCATAATACGTTACTGAAATAATTAGTTACCCAGAAACACGTTTAACAACTAAAATATTTTTCACAATTCGTTTCTTCAAAATCAAATCACAGACCATCAAATCCTATAAATCTAGAATCAAATCGTGCAAATTAGAATCTTGCAAATTTATCTATAAAATGTTACGGACAATCATGCATAGTCTTTTAGTTTGTTTAGTTGTTTCTTGTTAATGTATCAATTGCTTTTTAATTGTTCAAGGGTTTTAGTTGTGCTAATTTCCTTTCAATTAGCTCTTGTTGTCCAAGATACCAATAATGCACGACGTTTATTTTTCTCACTGTTGTCCCTTTTGAATAGACTGTAGCTTGTGGGCACAACCATGTTCTATTGGATCTTTCTTGTGAAAATCAAGTGAACAAATAAGATCAAACAAACAAATAACAATGATGCAGAGATACATGTGTTCAGAATCATCAGCAGGCGCTTCATTGAGATCACTTTACTCTCCAGTTAGGTTTTGCTGAGCCTCTTTGCATTCCGGGGGACTCCATTTTTCTTTGTCACGATATGCATATTGAACTATAGAGGCTTCATAGATAGATAGAGTTGAGCAATCTCTCATACTTTCTTTTCCTTTGAGATGTTTATTCGAACCATTTAGTTTCGTTGTGTTGTAAGAGAGAGACGAATGATATACTTTATTATTAGTATTAGATAATTATATATAATTATTATGAAAAAAAAATGTAGTAGACTCATAGTGGGCTAATTCGTGAATTGAATCATATGGGGACTTTTCATTTTCCAAATTGGAACTTAATTAAACTAAAGAGTCACGCTCTTTAAACGCCCTAGAAGAAGAAAGAGGCTTAAGTCATCGCTTTCAATCCAATAAAGGGCTTTTTCATTTTCCACGAAAGTCCGTCCCAACAATTGTTGCAGAGGTCTTGCTCTAGCTTGCCCAATTGAACATAGAGAATGTTGGTTGTCTTACAACATTTTGCAAACTATTATTGTTGCATTGAGTATTTTTCATACCGTATGACTATGAGTGGAACATCTTACAATTTTAATTATTTACTTCTATTTTAAGCCATTAAATGCTTGAGTCACATGAAACACATAAATTTAACCAAGAACTCCAATGATAGTTATTACGACCTTGGCTACTACCCAAAAACATGAGCTAAATGCTTCTAAATTGACTCAAGGGTATCTTTCAGAGGGGTCAAAGCAGAGAGAGTATAAATAGGAAGTGACTGGAGAACACTGTTGATCAAAACAATTCCCCCCCCCCCCCCCCCCCCCACAAGAAAGAAGCCTACCATACCAACCATTAAGGTTTAGGAATTTGATTAGATAAGAGAATGAGGAATTAACTCGATAGGAGGAAGAATAGGAATTTAATTAGATAAGAGATGACTTTAAATATTTTGTTTAATTTCCTGGTAACTAATTTTTTTTTAAAAAATATTCAAATATTTGATATGGTGAATTGAATTTCTTAGCAGATACGAAATATTTTATATTTGCTAAGAATGATTTTCTTCTCGGTGATATTATTTCTGAAATTGAATATCATTACAAAAACGTATTTTTGCTACATAATAAATAAGTATTCCAAATACCTTATTCTATAAAATATCTATACATATTTGCTACTTTAATTCATAAAGTTTGTTATGATTAACTTCTTCTTTTTTATATATCGGCCGCACGAGTACTAGTACTAATTCTATAAAAATATATTTAAAATTAGTTATTTGTATGGAAATCACTAAAGATTAGGAAATTGATCAGATAAGAGATTGAGGAATAATCAATTACATATGAGGAAGGTTAGGGAATTAATTGGATAAGATATTGCGATTGAATATTTTAGTTCCCGGTAGAATTGTCATTCCATCAGGGCCAAGCCTTGTCGGTAAAGGAATTTAATATAATGGTCCAGGGTGGGCTGGCTCTTCATTTGGAAGAGCCTGAAAATGCTCAACCCAACCGAACGCTTGAAGGGCTGCGGGTTGGGGCGGGCTGCTACAAATTCCATCAGACACGATTGAGAAACTTTTATTTATGGAATGCTACAAATACATCAAATTTTATTATGGAATGCTATATTAAATTAGGTCTTGGGCCTAACTCACACCCCAAAAGCTAGCTCAAAGGGAGAAGGATTGCCCAAGCCTTATATGGAGTCCACCCATCTCATTAACCACCGAAGTGGGACTTTTGTCATTTCTTTAACATGCTACAAATGCATCAAATTTTAGGTTGTTTTCTTGAATTAGAGCTGTTTAGTAATACAGTTGATTTTATGAAAGTTGTATCTTCATCTTTAATTTATGTATTAAAAAAATTAAGGAAACTGAACAGAATGTAATATACAGTAAAGAAGGATAAGAAACCTACTTATGTTCTAACCTCGGGTTTGGCTTTTCACCAGGATTCACTAGTAAAACAAATCTGTACGAAAAACTATTACGATGGCTTTACTGTGAGTTTGTTAAGTCGTTTACAGAAGTCGTCTATTAAGTAATTAGCTATCATCACCTTAATTATTGTATTCTGGTTGAAAATTTACCACTCTATAGCAGATCATGGAATTAATATTTTGTTGGTTTGCTTAAGATTAATTTAGTTGTAAAGAGTTTCTTTTAAAAAATAAAATAATTAAGAGACCCCAAAAGAAAAGAAATGATGTTGTGACGTTCAGCTAAAATGTGTTGAGATTAAAATTAAGAATAATTTATTATTTGGAAATGATCTTTGTTGATAGAGTTGGGATCTGTCATAGATTGTCAAATTATTAACTTGAATAGTCCTTAATTAGTATTGTTTGCAACAAATTTTACAGTAACAGAAAATAAATTATAATCACAAAAAAATATGAAGAAACATAATTTTATTCATCAAGATTGCGGGTACAATTCTGTTGATCCCTTGATTCTTCTCTGACAAGATATTTATCCATAATTCGAGAGCTGTTTGTGACGTATTTTTCGACCTAGGATGATTTTGACTTGATCTACATAATTTGAGGGCCGTTAGCGGTGTACATCCGATATATGAAAGTTCAAAGGAAAATTCACTTATCTAGAAACAATCAATCCTAACTTACGAATCACATAGGTTTTCATGCATATGTTTTAACAATACTTATTTCCTATTCATGTGGGGAATTCTTGGATTTTAATGGTGTGAATAGGAAATGAAGGGTTGTAACTCTCCTAAAAAGGATTGTGAGTTGTACCGAAAGGTTGTGTCTTTTCTAAATGGTAAAGTTATAACAATTAATTTTTAAAATAAATAAAGAAATATAGAGTAAAAGCAACAAAGAAAGGAAAATAAGTGATTTAAGGAAATGATGTACATAACATTAATGATGAAATTAAGGAAATGAAATTTAAAATATTAATAGCATCTATGATGAAAGAATTTTAGTATGGTCATATTTGATATTCTATAAAGTTTTAAGGTAAAATTTTCAGTCTTTTAAAATTGAGGAAAAATACAAAAATAATTAGAAAAATAAATAAATAAACTTCCAAACACATTTTTTAGCAATAATTTTAAGAAAATATAAGAATAAATGTCAATTTTTTTTATAAAAATAAATAAATATCTGAAGTAAGAAAGGTGTCATCCTTTTCTAATTTTAATTTATTAGTACGTAGATATGGATCTTTAGCAGAAGAAATGATCTAAATTCAAAAAAAATAAAATCAAATTGTGTAAAAAAAAATGTGATTCTTACATAGTTGTAACAATTAGTCTCTTTTATTAAATAAAAAAAAAGTGTTATAAAATATTATAGTGTGGATGTCCACTATACCAATAAGTTACTCTCACCCATTA